GTATTCGCAACGAAATTCAGAGCGAAATTCGCAATCTGTTTCGCCTGTTTATTCATACCAAAGCGTCTTATTCGCTCCGCGAACGTGAAGGTTTCGACAGGTTGCGTACATTTTATTTTTGCCTTTTGCAATGAGCTCGTCTTCAGAAGAAGAGGAGGCACTTCTATTTCTTGCTTTAGAAGAGGAACAAAATGCACGGTAAGTTATGTTTATTTAACGCCATTTGATAGTTGGGTATGTATTAAGTTTAACGAAGTACATAAAACAAATATTGTCAATTTTGTTTAGGAAACGAAGGAAGTGACTACATTAACTTGGAACGAAATAAATTTGGGGAATACCATACCTTGATGCCACAACTTCGGCTGGATGAACAGCGCTTTTACGTATATTTTAGAATGACTCCAGAGTGTTTCGATGAAATATTGAGCTTGGTGAAAGATGAAATACGAAAAAGTGACACAAATTATCGTGAAGCTATTTCGCCAGAAGAACGACTTGCTATTACACTCAGGTAAAAAAATTATATGTATTAAAATTAGTAGGCTTATCGAATACGAAAACTTCAGGGATCGTGAAATAAATATTTTATTGTAATAAATGGACTACATGTCGCCACTAGGATTAAATGTTGCTAAATAATTCGAGGCAGAATTTGCCTCCTCTGTTGGGTATATTATTGGAGTAAACCCAGTGCCGCTTGGGAAGGACGACATACTACTATCATACATACTTGCAGAATTCTGGGTAGACGCTGAAGACATTTCTTCAATATGTTCAAATTCTTCGTGCGCTATTAATTCGGCTATTTTTAGTTTTATTCGGGCTTGACGCTTTAAGGGAAGTGTTTTCACAGTCTGTGCATGTGCCAAGAAAAGTGAATCAATGGCCTCGTTCTCTTTTTTAGGTTTTTTACCTTCAAAATAATTAATGAGCTGTTGTACAGACGAAGATGGTGGTTCATATCGTTTTCTGCTCGTTTTATATTTTGGTGTAGTTGCAGTCTGCGGAAAGGTGTGCCCTGGAGTAGTCACTGCTGTAGTGTTCAATGAAGAAGGTGGTGCTGTCTGTGTTGCCGAGGCGTTCTGTGCATCTGCTGCATCTACATCAGCATTTTCATCTTCTCCTTGGCCGCGGTCTTCCAAATTTTCGGTTTCTACATTTCCAGCTCTTTCCTGATATATATTTGAGTTAAATTCGGCAGTCTCATAATGTATGACGTCAATATCTTTCACATTAGACGACGTTTTGGCAAATGCCAAAAAAGGACGGAAAAATTCCATGTAGTCAGCCCACTGCCATTTCTTTATGTTGCCCACTGCTTGGCCGGTCTTTGGTTTGGTAGATTTTATATATTTTGCTAATGTGTCTCTGATATTCTTCCACCTTTTTTTTTACTTCATCACCTAAAAACGATTTTTTTATAGATTCCTTGCCACTGGTGACACCTTCTATACCATTGGGCATAGCTTTCGAGTTGGCTTTACAACAGTGAGTGCAATCGTAACCGAAGCCTGTGAAGCGATATGCAGACATATGGTACATATATATTTACCAGAACCAACAGAGAATATATAGAAAAAATGTGCTGAAGAATTTGAAAATAGATGGGGATTTCCCAATTGCATTGGCAGCGTGGACGGTAAACATGTAACACTCAAGAGACCTAACAACAGTGGCTCCAATTACTGGTGCTATTTACATAAATATTCAATAGTACTTATGGCCATTGTTGGCCCGGACTATAAATTTATATGTGTTGATATTGGTGGTTTCGGAAAAAATACTGATGGGGGTATTTTCGAAACCTCAAACATGGGAAAACGATTTGAACAAAATTTAATGAGTATCCCTGCACCTAGATTTCTCCCTGGGCAAAATGAAATCTGCTCGTACGTCTTAATTGGTGATGAAGCATTTGCTTTAAAACTATACCTTATGAGACCATTTCCTTATAAGCAGACTTTAACAGACGTCAGAAAAGAGAAATACAATGTAAGACTTTGTCGAGCTAGAAGGGTCGTGGAAAATGCGTTTGGTATTTTGACTCAAAAATGGCGAATATTTTACAGGCCATTAGAAACTAAAGTAGATACTACTATTCTAATTGTACGTACGGCATGTGTTTTACACAATTTTTTACGAAGTAAAAGTGGCGATGACAAATATTTTCAATTCTTAGATCCCCCAAAACCCGTGCTTGGAGCTTTTACTGATATAGCAAATGATCCTCGGCGGGCAGCAAGGCTAGCATTTTCTACTCGTGACAAATTCGTAAATTATTTTAATTCTGATATGCCTATGCCCAATATATAGAATGTTCGTTTTCACATTTGTGTAGACTGTAAATTATTTAACAAGTTAATAAAAAATATTAGGTACATACCATTTGTATTTAATTCTTTTCCTATTTCCATCCAAATCTTGTCTTTCTTTCTCACATTCCTGTATTCATCGTTAGACAAATCATACAAACAAGGATACTTTTTCACTATTTCTATCAATAATTCCGTTTTTGCCATTGCGAATTTTTGAAGAACGGCGTCAAAAACGCGGTCAAAGGCGAACTGAAATACGCCGCGATAAAAACGCTGGAACAATCGCATTCGCTTCGCACAAGTCTGAGCCTGTCCGTAAACCGCCGCGTTTTAATCTGATCGCGAATTCATCGCCGCGAAATTTTCGCAGCCAAAGCGAATATTTCGCGCCGGTTTGTGGGATGCTTAAAAAATAAAAAATTGTGTAAAACACATGCCGTACGTACAATTAGAATAGTAGTATCTACTTTAGTTTCTAATGGCCTATAAAATATTCGCCATTTTTGAGACAAAATACCAAACGCATTTTCCACGACCCTTCTAGCTCGATAAAGTCTTACATTGTATTTCTCTTTTCTGACGTCTGTTAAAGTCTGCTTATAAGGAAATGGTCTCATAAGGTATGGTTTTAAAGCAAATGCTTCATCACCAATTAAGACGTACGAGCAGATTTCATTTTGCCCAGGGAAAAATCTAGGTGCAGGGACACTCATTAAATTTTGTTCAAATCGTTTTCCCATGTTTGAGGTATCGAAAATACCCCCATCACTATTTTTTCCGAAACCACCAATATCAACACATATAAATTTATAGTCCGGGCCAACAATGGCCATAAGTACTATTGAGTATTTATGTAAAAGCACCAGTAATTGGAGCCACTGTTGTTAGGTCTCTTGATTGTTACATGTTTACCGTCCACGCTGCCAATGCAATTGGGAAATCCCCATCTATTTTCAAATTCTTCAGCACATTTTTTCCATATATTCTCTGTTGGTTCTGGTAAATATATATGCTCCATATGTCTGCATATCGCTTCACAGACTTCGGTTACGATTGCACTCACTGTTGTAAAGCCAACTCGAAAGCTATGCCCAATGGTATAGAAGGTGTCACCAGTGGCAAGGAATCTATAAAAAAAATCGTTTTTAGGTGATGAAGTAAAAAAAGGTGGAAGAATATCAGAGACACATTTGCAAAATATATAAAATCTACCAAACCAAAGACCGGCCAAGCAGTGGGCAACATAAAAAAATGGCAGTGGGCTGACTACATGGAATTTTTCCGTCCTTTTTTGGCATTTGTCGTCTAATGTGAAAGATATTGACGTCATACATTATGAGACTGCCGAATTTAACTCAAATATATATCAGGAAAGGGCTGGAAATGTAGAAACCCAAAATTTGGAAGACCGCGGCCATGGAGAAGATGAAAATGCTGATGTAGATGCAGAAGATGCACAGAACGCCTCGGCAACACAGACAGCACCACCTTCTTCATTGAACACTACAGCAGTGACTACTCCAGGGCACACCTTTCCGCAGACTGCAACTACACCAAAATATAAAAGCAGAAAACGCTATGAACCACCATCTTCGTCTGTACAACAGCTCATTAATTATTTTGAAGGTAAAAAACCTAAAAAAGAGAACGAGGCCATTGATTCACTTTTCTTGGCACATGCACAGACTGTGAAAACACTGCCCTTAAAGCGTCAAGCCCGAATAAAACTAAAAATAGCCGAATTAATAGCGCACGAAGAATTTGAACATATTGAAGAAATGTCTTCAGCGTCTACCCAGAATTCTGCAAGTATGTATGATAGTAGTATGTCGTCCTTCCCAAGCGGCACTGGGTTTATTCCAATAATATACCCAACAGAGGAGGCAAATTCTGCCTCGAATTATTTAGCAACATTTAATCCTAGTGGCAACATGTAGTCCAATTATTACAATAAAATATTTATTTCACGATCCCTGAAGTTTTCGTATTCGATAAGCCTACTAATTTTAATACATATAATTTTTTTACCTGAGTGAAATAGCAAGTCATTCTTCTGGCGAAATAGCTTCACGATAATTTGTGTCAGATTTTCGTATTTCATCTTTCACCAAGTTCAATATTTCATCGAAACACTCTGGAGTCATTCTAAAATATACGTAAAAGCCCTGTTCATCCAGCCGAAGTTGTGGCATCAAGGTATGGTATTCCCCAAATTTATTTCGTTCCAAGTTAATATCATGTACCCACTTCCTTCGTTTCCTAAACAAAATTGAAAATATTTGTTTTATGTACTTCGTTAAACTTAATACATACCCAACTATCAAATGGCGTTAAATAAACATAACTTACCGTGCATTTTGTTCCTCTTCTAAAGCAAGAAATAGAAGTGCCTCCTCTTCTTCTGAAGACGAGCTCATTGCAAAAGGCAAAAATAAAATGTACGCAACCTGTCGAAACCTTCACGTTCGCGGAGCGAATAAGACGCTTTGGTATGCAAGAGCATGAGGAAAAATACCCATTCTCAAGAGAAACCCAAAACTTTACTTAAAAACCTGACTTCCTTTGCTCACTCTGAACAAGTGGATAAATAAAAGAAATATATCGATCTAACCATGTACCTGTTCTCAAAGAGTTTAGTTTGAAAAATAATGATTGTAAAGGTTACGCACATTCCTGTTTTAGGTTTGAAATCTCTAGACCCGGCAGTTTTGGATCTTCACACGATATTCAAGGAATCAACTTGTAATGAACCTATTTTGTTACTGGCAATGTCGGGCACAAATCCGACTAGCGATATCACCGAATTAGCCCGGAAACTTCAAAATGGAAACTTTGCCCAGGTATTAAGCATGAGAGCGTTCACAAAAAATGATATGATGCTAGTTGATAAAATATAGTTTTCAAGTAGTTTTTTAGTATACAGGGTGATTCACAAGGCGTGACCAAAAAAGAAACGTCATACACAGGACCGCATCTTCTACGAGTATGTAACATTTTTTCCTGGAGAACTTGAAGTTTAAAAATAAATAACATTTTTTTTAATATCTGCAAAACCGTCAACTGGAATAACCTAAAATTTGATATTTGGATTTCCCTAAGTATTGTCCACAAGTCTTTACTTAAAATAAACGTGTAATAATTTTTTCGGATTTTACCTTCAATTTGCAACAAATCAGTAGCGTACTATTTTCATTTGGAAAAATAATGCCACTAATCCCCTGTATCTCCACCACTAGTGCACGTTAATTTTGTGTAAACACTTTTGACTGTTAATAACAGTAAAATGATGTGGAAGACGCTAAAAATATTGTATTTCCCAGTAGGAAGAATGAATTATCAAGGATGTGTTTCGAAGATGGTATAGTAAAACAAAAAATATTGATTGCAGAACGAATGAACGCTTATTTTATAGAAAGTATAAATGAGATAGCCGAATCAATCGAAGATGGGGATCGAAATCTATGTCACATGCAATTTACTTATAATTCTTCTATAAGACAATTGCAAACAATAAATATCAGCCATCTTTCAAAATCTGTTTCAAGATTGAAATCGAATAGAAATCCTAGTGAACATCTTTCAAAAATGGTTATGAAGGAATATTTCAGCGTTTTTGGAGAGAAGTTATTATTGTTAGTGAATCAATAAAATTAAAATGTTCTACAATTACTCCTGTTCCAAAAGTGCAAAATTCTGAGTTATATACAAACATGCAGCCAATTAATATACTGCCAGATGTCGAGAAGCTCTTAGAAGCAATCATATATGAACAAGTCATATGAATATGAATATATTGAAGAAAATAAGATATTGACAAAATTTCAAGCAGGATTAAGAAAAAAGTATTCTACTGAAACAGCAATTCAAATGGTAGTAGAAGAATGTAGGCGAAATATGAATGAAAAAAGTTTACAGTAACTTTGTTCTTAGATTTCAAGAGAGCACTTGAGACTATTGACAGGGAGAAATAGTTAACGAAATTGCATTGCTATGGATTTCAATGTTCAGTATTCAACAAAATTATTTAATCAATAGAAGTCAAAGAACTAAAATTGGCAATACATTATCAAACATTAAAAACTTTTCGGTAGGTGTGCCACAGGGTAGCAAATTAGGTCCATTACTATTTATTTTATATATTAACGATATTCCTGATATTTTACAGCACTACAAAATTCAACTATTTGCTGATGATAAATTAATATATAAATCACGTTAACATGTGCAGCCCCCTGGTCGGGGGTGACACCAACCCTAAAATCTTAAATGGAAAGGGGGGTCGAGTGATACCTTATTTTAAAGGTCTTTCAATTCCCTTTATAATGATGTAAAAGACATGAGCTTCAGTTCAGTTGTTTTGAAGATTTATTGATTTAAAGGTTAAAGTAGACTTTAATAGGTACATCAGATTAGTTTGTACTACTTTCAGAAGAAATTTGACTAAAAGAATTTAATTAATAAGTAAATGCTTTTCTTCACTACGCCCATGGTTTAACATTTTGTTGTTTAAAATACCTATTGGAGCGTTTTTTTTGTGGCAAAAAAGTTATTTCTTGAAGAAAGATAAGGAAATATCTCGTACTTATTTTAAATAGGAATTTAGTACATAGTTTGCGATTGATTAGACGAAACTTTGTTGCTAAAATAACTTGTAACGCTTTATTACATAAATTAACCATGGTATATTCCACAGCAGAAAGAGTTGAAATTATCGAAATATTTTTAGGAAATAATCAGTGCGCTAATAGAACAGCAGAAATATTTAATGAGCGACATGAGAACAGTAAAGTGCATCGAAAATATGTATGTTCTAGAACTTGTAGCTAAATTTCGGGAAACTGGGTCAGTCGCCAATAAAAAACGCAACATCCAAAATCCCATAAGGAACGAAGCAATAGAATTGGGGGTTTTAGGGCAAGTTTATGTAGATCCTACGTTAACTACCCGCAAATTGGAGACTGTGTGTGGTGTTAGTCGACGTACTGTCCAACGGATTCTTAAGGCCCATAGTTTTCAACCCTATAAAATTCACCTGGTACAAGAACTTAATGAAGACGATTTTGATCAGCGATTACAATTTTGTGAAGATATGAGTAAACGAATTATAAACGATGAACATTTTCTATTCAACACTTGCTTTTCCGACGAATGTTCCTTTTTCTTAAATGGCGTAGTAAATCGTCATAACTGCCGATATTGGTCCGATTCTAATCCCAGAATTTATCATGAGGTTCATACACAGCAGCCACAAAAATTATATGTCTGGGCTGGTATTTAGTTGGTCCTGTTTTCTTACCTGGAAATTTGACCGGTGAAATGTATTTGGAATTACTGGAAGACGCCATAGATCCTGCATTAACAGCCATAATTGAAAATCAGAATAATCGGCGGTACATTGCGAATAGGTTGATGTTCCAACAGAATGGTGCCCCACCACATTACGCATTACGTGTTCGACAATATTTAGATCAGACGTTTCCAGATCGATCGATTGGTAGAAAAGGTGCCATTGAATGGCCCCCAAGATCGCCAGATTTATCACATTTGGATTTCTTTATGTGGGGTCATTTAAAAAGCAAAATCTATGCTACTCAGCCAACATCATTAGAAGACCTGCGACAATGAATTGTGAATGAGTGCCTTCAAATTACTCCTCAAATATTGCAAAATGTGCGGCAACGTTTTGAGCAAAATCTTTATTATTGCATGGAGAGTCATGATGGTCATTTTCAACATTTACTTGCCTAACGGGTCAGTTCATTCTTCATTTTTAAATAACTTTGCTGCCAAATGTATTGATCTCCACTAATGATGATGTATTAGTTTTATTTAAGCTTTAAATCAATAAATCTTCAAAACTACTGAACTGAAGTACATTAATTTTATATCATTATAAAGGTAATTGAAAGACCTTTGAAATAAGGTATCACTCGACCCCCCTTTCCATTTAAGATTTTGGGAGTGGTGTCACCCCCGCTTAGGGGGCTGCACCTGCTAACGTGATTTTTTGCCAAACTTGTGTCCCCCTCGAAAACAAAATCGACGGGTCTGAGCGTTTTCCAAAAAAAACTGAGCTGCCATTAAATGCGTCTGTTTCGTTTTCGATGCGCCACCCTGTATATATATATATATATATATTTTGACATTGAAACTGCAATATAGCTGTTAAATAATGATATGAAAAACGTAATAAATTGGTTAAATGTAAATAAACTTAAACTAAACACAATCAAAACAAAATATATGCTAATAGGAAAATCTTTAGATCAAAATACGATAAATCTTACAATTAATCATGAAAAAGTTGTGTCAAAGAATGATTTAAGTATTTGGGCATATACGTAGACAGTAAATTAAAATTTGAAGGGCACTATGAATATATTATTTCAAAAATATCCAAGAAAATAAATTACTTTTATAGAATTTCGCATAGCCTAAGCATTTACTCTAAAAATATTGTGTACAACACTATTATTCTTCCTCATTTGTTATATTGTTCGACTATATTGTTCACTGCAAATGAAACTGTATTTTCAAAATTACAAATATTACAAAATAAAGCTATGAGAGTCATCTTAAATAAAAATAAATATACCAGAATAAATTTTATGCTGAAAGAACTACCATGGTTAAATATCAAACATTTCATAGCCTACTTGTTTTTCATTTTCATATTCAAGTTAAAAAATCATCTTCTACCAAATCACTTCGAAATTTTATTGTATTGAACAATGAGTGCCACAATTATTCTACTAGAGGAAGTATAGACTTTCATTTACAAAACTGCAGTAGCAATATAACGAGCAAGTCAGTATTTCAAAAGGAATTGTACGAATTTAATAAATTAAGTAATGATATCAAGATGTGTGTCAGTTTGAAAATGTTCTAAGGGAAATTGAGAAAATATCTCATTGAAAACCAGAATTCATAGTAGTCAATTTTTGTATAAAAATATGTAGTCTTGAAGACATAATATATTTTGTGATATACTGTGTAATATGGATATTATGGACATTGTAGCATTAATGCTAAATAAATCTGAAACAAACAAACAAACAATACATAGGTAAATCCCACATAGCAAATTTTAGTTCATTTAAGTTAACGGTTTTAAATATATTAAAAAAACTGTATTTTTGAACTTCAACACTCCGTATCTTTTTAATGAAGCACTCGAGGACAAAATGTTACGTAGAAGACCCCCTTAACATGTGATCCTGTTTCATTTTTGATCACGGTTTGTGAATCACCCTGTATATTTCTTTCATTTCATGTCGTAGATTGCAATGGGTGAAGGGCTAGAGGCTAAGGCCATACTAGCTCTGAAACAACGTTCCGAATCAGGAACTTGGTTGATATTGAAAAATCTACATCTGGTAACGTATTGGCTACCGGTGTTAACGCAAAATTTAAAAAATCTCAAAGCCAAAGAGTCATTTAGGTAAGTTCTACTAATTCTCCATCAGCTGTTTGCTAATATACGTTGAATAACGATCTGTAAGAAATTTATGTAAATATACAGGGTGTTCCAGAAGTCGATGTCAAGCGAAGTCATAGTAGTTATCAGAACAATATTAAAAAAAAGTGTAACGCCTACTTTTCAAATTATAGGCTTTCAAAAAACTAAAACACCTTGTGACGATCTGTAACTTCCCATTATTACAAATTTCTATTTTTTTTCTTAGACGGAGTGACTACAATACAGATAGTAAACGGCTTTTATTAATTCGTGAATTTATACTAAGTGACATATAAATCCGAACACAACTATGCCTATAAACTTTCTCGGGTTTCAATTAGTAAGGGCCGTATCGTCAGTCATTCCTACAATATTGTAGGAAGCCTTTATGGCCTCCTTGATTTTCATAGTTTTCTACTGTTCCGTGTCAGCACTCTATTTTGAGGTTATGACACAAATATCTATACAGTTTAAATGGCTTTATTTTAATAAAATTTTGTATAAGTACTTAATGAAGCATAATAAGTAAATGATAAAAATTTCAAAATGATTGCACTGCTTTAAAGCCCTTTGACCTTTAATAATGTGTGGATGCACCCTGATGTGCTAGGCATTCTCCAACGCGCCTAGGCATGCTTCTGATCAGGTGGACAATGTCCTCCTGTGGTATCTCATTCCAGGTAACCACCAACTCCTCTCGAAGTGCTTCTAGAGTCTGAGGAGGACGTTGCAAATTGAGCAATCTCCTACCCATCATATCCCACACGTGCTCAATTGGGGATAAGTCGGGAGATCCTGGTGGCCATGGTAACAATGTGACATCATTACGTTGAAAGAAGTCTATTGTGACTCTTGCAACATGTGGTCGGGCATTATCTTGTTGGAAAGTTGGATCTGCCAGGGTGTCAAGATAGGGTAAAAGATGGGGTTCTAGAACTTTGTGGATATAACGCTGCGCGTTCATGTTACCTCTGATGAAGATTAAAGGTGACCTGGAACCATAACCTATAGCACTCCAAACCATAACTCCAACAGTGTGATGAACATGTCTTTCAACAAAAAACTGTGGATTCCTCCTTTCACCACGTCGCCTTCTAACCCTGACATGACCATCGTGCATGCCTAAACAAAATCGAGACTCGTCACTAAAGACATTACTGTTCCATTCCTGATCTCAGAGTAACCGTTATCTGCACCACTCAAGGCGATTACGTCGGTGTTCTCGAGTTAAAGGGAGGACCCAGTGTGGCCGGTATGAAAACAAGCCAAAACTTCTCATTCATCGGTAAACACTTCGCATGACAATAGGTCTTCCGTGTTCTGCAAACCATTCATTTCCAATGGACCTGGTAGTGGAGAAACGGTCCCTTAAGGCCAATAATCTTAGGCGGCGATCTTCACGGTATGTTGTTCTACGGCGGCGTCCAGTGCCCCTTGCTCTTTGCGTACGGCCTTCTCGAAGCCCTGCCTGACAACACCTAACCACAGTGTCTACACTTCTTTGCACTCTAACTGCAATTGCCCGAAAAGAAAGTCCAGCTTCCCGAAGTCCCACTATACGGCCCCTATCAAACTCACTAAGTTGACGAAATCGTACAGGTCTCCGTACACTAGGCATCGTAACCGATCGTAAAGGATGTCAAGAACCAAAATCCGCCAACGTTGATTCTTTACTGCGGCTGAAATATTAATTTTTAGAGCGTTAGTGAATTAAAAAAAAAGCAGTATAAAAACCGGAATGTCCAACTGATAAAGCTGAAAAATGTTTCACTTGTTATTTACAGTAAGATAAATACATTCACCAACTTTTATTAAAATAAAACCATTTAAACTGGGTGTTCGGATTTATATGTCACTTAGTATATTTATAATTCACAATAAATAACTGTACCTTGTTTCCCACTTGACGTTGACTTCTGGGACACCCGGTAGAAACGTTAAAAAGTTCCATTTCTTCTCTGTAGACTGTGGTTAATATCAGAGCCGACGCCCAATTTTTACTTCGTACTCGCCCAAAATAGTTTAAAAGTGGTATATGAAACATCGCAAGGAGTGAAAAATAACATTTTGAGAACTTATTCAAACTACGGAAGCAAGTATGTCGATAAATTGAACAATACTTCTGCGAAAATATTTTTCGTAGTCTCCTGCGTCCATGCCTTACTGCAGGAACGAAGGAAATATATTCCACAAGGTAATGTATTTTTTTCCCTGGAAAATGGTACTTTCACCGCAAAATATTTGTTCACACTAGAATTACAATAATCCTGATAGTCTAATCATATTAACAAATTTTACAGAAATAATTGTAAAGTCTAGGTTCCGTGATGCAAGTTGTTCAAAAACATGGACGCATAAAAATGATACACTAATTTTTGTGGGAATACTTTTTACTCGACAACAAAAAATGAGAAAACGTGTTTTTTGCAAAATGCAGGTTTTGGCACTTGTTGCTAATGCAGCTATAATCTCACGCTACTTTCAAATCCCTATTTCTAAATAACCACAACAAAATTGGAGTCGATTGCTCAAGTGTTTTTTGAGAAATTCAAATTATTTATTCCAAAATTCTCAAAGTTACAAGTCTTGCAAAATAAAGCTATGAGAATAATATTGATTAAAAATAAGTAGGTACATCAAAATAAAATACAGGGTGTTTCAGCTTATTGTTGCATAACTTTAAGATTCGATAGAACTTTTAAAATTAATGCATAAAGTCTATATAAACATGGGTCGAAAAATGCGTGGCTTCCGAAATACAGGGTGTTTAAATTTACTTTCTAAAATAGTTTTTTTTTTTAAATATTTCGGACAATATTTGATGTATAACAGTGAAAATTGGTATACAAGGGTTTTTTGGTACGACAAAACGAACCATGGGCATAGTTTTACTGTAGCTGCAAGAGGGCGGTCTCTACTGTACCTGTAGTGTAGGGGACGGAGAACGAAGAATCACATTTTGTCAGTGGATTCTTGATAGAACTGATAATAATAGGGAGTTTTTAAGTAACGTTTTATGGACCGATGAGTCATGCTTCACTAGACGTGGAGTGGTAAATTTTCATAATCAACATATTTGGTCGCATGAACATTCGCATGCAGTTCGGGAAAGAAATTTTCAGCATGAATTTAGTGTGAACGTGTGGATTGGTATCTACCGTAATCGACTATTTGGACCCTACCTTTTGCCTGCAAGGTTAAATGCTGCGACCTTCTTGGAATTTTTAAAGGCTGAACATGCAAATATGTGGGATGATGTTATGTTAGATTTAAGAAGATTGGCCTGGTTCCAGCTTGATGGTTGTCCAGCTCATTATTCGAGAATAGTTTGAAACTGGCTGGACGAAAATTATCCAGAAAGATGGATCGGCCGTGGAGGACCAGTCGCCTGGCCTCCACGGTCCCCTGACCTAAATCCATTAGATTTCTTTGTGTGGGGATTTCTAAAAGAAAAAGTGTACCAGACTCCCGTAACCACAAGAGATATGCTAATAGACAGAATCAGGAATGCATGTGATGAAATAAGGCCTTATTTGAATAATGCTATACCACGTTCGATCATTCGTAGATGTGAATTGTGTATTGAACAATTGGGTTTACATTTCGAGCAACTACTTTAGATTTTGTATGTTTGTCCTAACTATCCAATAGCATTTTAGTTGTAAATAATTAATTTAATTTGTTAAAAATAATATTGGAAAATTAAACAAATTAATATTCTGTTTGTTTGTGTTTATTTAGAGTTAGGAATTATTGCTGTGTTTAAAAACACAATCTGAACGATCGTCTTAATTACTTGTAATGCCCAAATCGAAAATGTAAAAAAATATTATTTTCCCATAAATAATTAAAAATGCATCGAACCTTAAAAATCGAAATATCTCAAAAACGGCTAACTATAACGAAAATTCACAAGAGAGCTTTTTTGTGTTGAAAAGTGCGAAGAATCAGTTTTTTTATTCAAAAATCAAAAAATTGCACTAAGAAAAAATTTTCGGTCATTTTAATACACTACAGGTACAGTAGAGAGCGCTCTCTAGCGGCTACATTAAAACTATGCCCATGGTTCGTTTTGTCGTACCAAAAAACCCTTGTATACCAATTTTCACTGTTATACATCAAATATTGTTCGAAATATTTAAAAAAAACTATTTTAGAAAGTAAATTTAAACACCCTGTATTTCGGAAGCCACGCATTTTTCGACCCATGTTTATATAGACTTTATGCATTAATTTTAAAAGTTCTATCGAACCTTAAAGTTATGCAACAATAAACTGAAACACCCTGTATATGTTACAAGAATTGCAGTGGTTGAATATAAAAAAATTCATATCATATTTGGTTCTTATTTTTATATTTAAAATAAAAAACATCTTTCGTCAGAACATTTAGAACACTACATAGAATTGAATAATCATTACCACAATTATTAAACAAGAGGAAATATAGATTTTCATTTACAAAATTGCAATAGTAATATAACTAGCAAATCAATACTTCAGAAAGGATTACTTAATACTAAATAATAATATAAAGTCTACTTGTAATTTACAGATATTTAATAGATAATTAAAGGAATATTTCATGGACCATGAAAATTCTCAGATGCAATTTTTGTTTTCCTAAATATGTGTATGTTATGTAATTGTTTAGTTTTTTAGAAGAATGTAATTGTAGCAATCATGCTAGGTAAATCTTAAACAAACAAAACACATGTCTGGAAAGGATAGTTGATAGATACTTAAGGGATGGCCCGCTGGAAAGGTGTGTCATTCATGCAAATCAGTTTGCATACCAAGCTGGGAAATCGACTGATCTGGCCTTAATGCCGGTCCAGATGCTCCATTTTGCACAACGTTTTGTCTGCACAGTCCGACACGTTGCAGATAAAACGTTGCGTGTAGACGGGAAAACTGCGCAGTTTTGACTCTGGCGCGAAGACGGTACAGTTGCAGCGATAACTGAGCTAGGAGAGCATAGATATTCGTGAACTGCGCAGACAAGTCGGTGCATGTAGATGGTAGCACCGTTTTCCGATTCATTTTGTTCCTCAGATTTAATTCGTCAAGCGACAATGGCTGACCTTCGGCAATGTTCCCGTGAGTTTCTCACAGAATTCATCCAATTATATGAAAGTTTCCCATGCATTTGGCGTGTGAAATGCAAGGAGTACAGTGACAGAGATAAAAAGGGAGAGACTTATGAGGCTTTGGTGGAGAAATTCAAACAAATCGATGCAACTGCAGACCGAGAAACCGTTGTGAAAAAAATTGCTGCCTTTTTAGAAGCCACTTTCGCGACCACTTTGAACGCCTGGTACTTCCGAAGCGTTTCAATCTTCTTTTTTTTATCGAGACACGTTGCCCAAACTGACCAGAGTAGTACCTCCTCCATGACAATATCACACAAAACTGAGCGAAATATACAGATATATCTGCACCGTGTGGACTGTCTGAAAATTGCAACGTTTTCATTCCGTCTTGAGACGTTGTGCAAAATGGAGCGTCTGGACCGGCCTTTACACAATCTGGTCGGTAGGCATGAGAATACTCTAGATCAGCGAGAAGTGGCACTCATGGCCTTTTTCCTTTATCAGACATGCCTTGGTTAGACACGGGGTTGGATTAATCCTAATAGATTGGGTCCTATATACTCTGGAGGGTCGGGTAGCAACAGCTATGCTGAATGACGTAAGCTGCAGCGTTCACCCCTACTGTGGTGCATCGTGGTGAACGAACTCCTCGTTAGGCTCAGCAGTGTGCGTGTCTACGTGCAAGCCTATGCTGATGACTCAAGCATACACCCTCCTACCCTGTGCGGTCCCTCCACCACCTCTGTTACAGGCAACCTCAAACCCTTGAGGAGTGGGGGGAAGCGCAATCTGCTTCTCCCTCCTCTCCCGCCCGAAGGCCTGGCGTGGCGCTGCGTGGTTCAGGCCGCTGCGCATTCCCCAAGTGAGTGCTGCCGAGCGAGCTACCCCCCTCCCCAGTTTTGCTCCTTTTTCCCGAAATTTGGCTCGATCGCGCACGCGTCGCGGAAGCACGTGGTGGAGGTTTCATCCAACTGTCGATTCTAGACTTTTATGGACGGCCTCCTTCTTGGGGGTGCTGCGCTGGGGGGCTTTGACCTAAGCCCCGGACTCAAGCATAGTAGTTAGGGGACGTTTTTGTAGAACAGTCTCGGAAATTATGCAGGGCGCTGAAAAGACCGAGCTGATCCTATTCACTAGGAGAAGAAGGCTTGAAGGGCTGGTGATGCCGAGCTTCTTTGGAACTAGATTAATTCTATCCCAATCAGTGTAATAACCGGGAATTATCCTGGATTGCAAAGTGAACTGGAGAGAGCATGTGGAATACAAGGTTAGAAAGGCTCGCAATTCGATGTGGGCTTGTAGACGTGTTGTCGGGGTAAGGTGGGGACTTGAACCCAAAGTGGTATACTGGCTCTACACGACGATAGTACGTCCATCTCTCTTGTATGGCTCCCTGGTCTTGTGGCCTTGCATTAGAACTGAGACAGCTAATGCCAAACTCAATAAAATTCAGCGTTTGGCCTGTATTAGCATTACAAGCGCAGTGCGAACATCGCCATTGAGTGCAATGGAAGCTCTGTTGGATCTCCCACCGTTGGAGCTGGTGATCCGCGGTGAAGCGAGAGTAGTCGCTCACCGACTGTGGAGTCAGGGCAGCTGGGCTTTCTTGAATCCTGTCAAGGGGCATACTGCCATCCTAGTCGAATTGCAAAGGGAGGACCCCGTCCTTCTAAGCAGGGGTGATCGTATTGCCCTTAAATATCGCTTCAACCGCAAGTTTATTGTGGAGTATCTAACGAGGGAGGAGTGGGACGCCGGTAGCCGGAGACTCTTCGGAGTGAGCGAGCAGGTCTGGTACATGGATGAGAGCTCAGGTGCTGGGGTCTCTGGGTCTATAACTAGGCTATCTCTGCCTCTCGGTGGATACACCGCTATTTTCCAGGCGGAAATCTTTGCGATTCTGGATTGTGTATCTCACATTCTGGAGGAAGGTGGGCCTAGGACAAGAATAACAATCTTATCCGACAGTCAGGCTGCAATAAAAGCACTAAGTGCCTGTAAGACTACTTCGAGTCTTGTATTGCAATGCAGGGAGGCTCTAGATTGCCTCGCAGCGAGGCATCCTGTATCGTTAATGTGGGTACCGGGGCACGCTGGGATA